AAATTTTTTTTTTTTTTTTTTTTTTTTTTATTAGTATCAAGCGAGCTTTCACAATGAAAATATACACTTTGTTTCTAAAGAATAAGTAAAAGTGAAAATACAAACAACCGAGAAGTTCGTAACTTATCTAAGTACAAAAACTATAAAAAATATAAGATTATTGGTTCAAACCGAGGGGCTGGCCAGTTCCCACGGCTTCATCCTTTTGAGGCGTCTGAGCTCATTGGAATTGTCTAAAAGTTGTATTGCCTCAATATTAGGGTGTCGATGGAGACGTTTCTCGTAGTTTGTTGCAACCTTTGCAATAAATTGCGAGACAGTCTCCATCCCTAGGTCTCTATGAATATCAGAATTCCTTTCGTACCATCGTGCTCCGACTATCTGTCTCAGAACACGATTTTGTACTCTCTGTATAATTTCTAAGTTGGACCGTGCTGCACACCCCCAGATTTGAGCTCCATATGCCCATGTGGGTCTCAGGATCTGTTTATACAGAAGTAACTTATTGTCAATGGTTAGTTTCGATTTTCTACCAATTAACCATTGTAATTTTCTAATTTTGTAATTACATTCGTCTCTTTTTATTTTAATGTGTTCTTTCCACTTTAATTTAGTATCTAGGTGTATACCTAGATACTTGGCCACTGATGAGGGTTTTAATAGAACTTTATTGAATATAATATTGATATCCTTAATTATACGATTAGAAAATATCTTATAAATAGTTTTTCCACAATTAAGTTTGATATCTTTTTCAATTGTCCAGTTATAAACATTTTGGAGATTTTCTTCTAATTCTTGGGTGGCTAATTCCTGACTTTTGTTACTGGATAAATATGCAGTATCATCTGCATATTTGCCCAGTAGAGATTTTCTAACTGGGGCTGGAATGTCTGAGGTAAATAATAAATAAAGTAATGGGCCTAATACTGATCCCTGCGGTACTCCTGCTAGAATAGGTTTTTCATCTGACAAGGCCTCTCCTACTCTAACACGGAAGGTTCTGTCAGAAAGATAAGATTGTATTAACTTAACATGGCAAGCGGGAAGAAGATTAGTTAGCATTTTAATTAAAAGTTTATGGGAGACCTTGTCAAATGCTTGAGCTACATCTAAAAATGCCGAAACGCAGTATTCTCCTTTTTCGAGGGCTTTTTCTATGAAGTTAGTTACTCTATGTATTTGTTCTATCGTAGAGTGCTTAGCTCTAAATCCGAATTGGATATCTGGCAAAATATTTTTAATGTTTATGACTTTTAATAATCTGGGGAGATATAACCTTTCCCATAGCTTTGCTATGGATGAAAGTAGTGAGATTGGGCGATAAGACGATGGATTTCTTTCTGGTTTACCATTTTTGTGAAAAACTATTATTATCGCTTCTTTAAATTTACTAGGGACATATTGTAGTTTGATTATAGCATTAAATATTTGAACTAGTTTATGAATTGCTTTTTCTGGTAATTTTTTGAGAATAAGGCCTGTTAGTTGATCTTTTCCTGGGGCTTTTTTCGTTTTACATTTGCCTATTAGTTTATTAACCTCTCCGAATGAAAATTGTGGAATTTCATGATCTGGGTCAATCAACCCTTTTTCATTTAATTGATAGAGAATATCGCGTTTCGTAGCATTAGGCAATGAGTTAGGTTTAAATACTTTCTCAAGATGGGATGCATGTAGGTTAGCTTTAT